CATGCCGAGCGAAAAAGGCCCTGACGTCACCCGCAGCCAATCAGCGCGCGCGGCTCGAGGGCAGGTGACGTCAGTCGGAGCCGGGCCGCGAGTGCAGATCAGAGGCGCGGCCGCGGGGGGCGGGGGGCCGAGCAGGCCGCCGCCCTCCGCCCTCTGCCCTCCGCCCCTCGCCCGGGCACCGGCTCTTAAAGGGACCGTACGGCGTCCCTCCCGTGCCGCCAGGGACCCCCACCTCCGGGAAGCCTTCCCAGCTCTGGCGCCCGGCCCCACCACCCGGGGACGCCCGGCCTCGCGGCACTCACGCCCGAGAGGGGCCGGCTGAACGGGTCCTGGCGCGAGGGTCTTCCCCCCGCCGCGGCCGGGCGGGAGATGGCGCCGCCTCCCCCGCCCCGTAGCCTTTGTTCGCGCGGGGCCTGCAGGCCGGGGAGCCCTCGCCAGCCTCGGTACCCCGCCGTGAGCTAGGCCCGGCGAGCACTTCACCTGCAGCACCTACGCTGACCCTTTCCACGACCCCCGGGGTGGGAAGCTGGGTTTCCACATTCCTCGGCAGGAAATTGGAAGCTCAGAAGTGAGATGGTTTGTGTCGGGTCACACATCTGTCCTCCGGTGAGGGGGTCCCCAGTGCAGCGCTGTCCCCCGAACCCCACCGGATCACCTCCAGCCCCTGACGCTTGCAGTGAAAAGCCGCCCCTACACAGCGCCCATCGGGGTCCACCCTGACAGTGTGTGTTCTCCCCCACCTCTGGTGAAGGCTGTTGAGGGTCTGCCCCAGGCGACCTCGGTGGGGAGGCAAGCCCTGGGGGCCGGAGCGCGGGGAGTCCAGAGGAGGAACAAACATAGGTAATTACACCTTGAGCAGAGTTGGGCCGGAAACAAACAGGGGCCAGACACAAGGCGGTGGGCGGTCTGGAGGCCACCCCAGGGGGTGACATGCAAGCAGTGACTGGAGGCTGTGGAGGCACCCGTGGTGCAGGAGGGACCCCCCACCCCCCACCCCAGGCAGGAACGACCTGGAGGAGGTCACGGGGCTGGAGCCAGGAGAGCCCGGAGATGCACTCATGCATTACCGATTCATCAGGTACCTACTGAGCACCTTCTTGAGCCAGGCCCTGCGCTGGGCACGGGGAGTTAGCTCTGAGAAAGAGGACAAAGACCCTTGTCCATGGGTGGCTGGGAGCCTTTGAAGGTAATTATTTGGGGGGGTGTGTGACTAGACAGCTCCGATGTTTCTAAAACCCCTCCTCCAAGGCTGCCTGGTGGAGAGTGAGGGCCATCTTTCCTCCAGCCTGGAGCCCCCTGGCATTGGCAGGTCTCCCAGGGCCTCCTTGGGGCTCTGTGAGGGGCTTCAGCCCCCAGGGGGGTGCAGCCCCTTCCCATGGAGGGAGGGAGCTGGGACGCAACTCTTAGCCATCCCTGGTTGAATGAAGGGTCAGGGGAAATGAGCACTCCGGACCCCAGGGCTGTGTGGGAGTGCGTGCGGGAGGGCACTGGGCCGCAGGTGGGCCCGGGCCGGGCTCTGGGGGCCCCTTTTCTGATCCTCAGTTCCAGAGAGCAGGCGGTGTCACCTGCAGCCTCAGAGTTTTGCAGAGGAGGTGTTTAGGAAGTGCCTGGGGCCTCCTTCCTTGCTGGCCTGAGGAATGTCAGGGTAGCTGTGTATATGGGGTGCGTGGGGTGGGGGTGGAGAGTGTGTTCCTGGCACAGAGCCAACACTGCAGACCCACAATCCTCTGGGGCTGTCCTGGAAGGAAGCGCTGGTGACCCAGGGGCGATTTGGGGCTGGAGCTGGGTTCAGGTCCTTCCTCTTTCTCTGCCTGTAGCTGGAACCCAAAGGAAGAGGGCCCTGCTGAGAAGAGAGATCCTGGCCAGGGGCAGCCCCTGAGCTCCAGGGAATGCCCAACCCAGATGCATGGCCAGGTCAGTGCTGGGTGGGGGATGCAGTGGGGCCTCGCTATGTTTGGGCTCACTCCAAGTCCGAAAAGTGCTGGGCCCTGGGAGGGGACAGGAGGATACAGGCTGAGCTGCAGGAGGCCCCTGGGGGAGCAGAGACAGATCCAGAAGGGCCTGGGACTGGCAGGAGTTGGGAGGTTGTCAGTCTTTAGATTGAGGAGCTGGGCTTGCTCCCTGGCCAGGCCCAGGATGAGCCCAGGAGGGGAGGAAGGTGGAAGGTGTGTAGGTGGGCTCCTCTTCTGCCCAGCCCAGATGTGGTCAGGGCCCACATGTGGCCTGGGAGTGCCCATGGCCCCAAAGAACTCTGGCTGTGCCCTGGGCACCTCCTCTCGAGGCCTGAGCAGGTGGCAGTAAATTGAGGGGCAGGCGATGGTGTCCTCTCTTTCTTCTGGAAGCTACAGGAGATGAGTGGGTGGGGGTGGCATGCAGCTTTCGGCGGCTCTGCCTGGCTAGGGAAGTATGCTTGGGCCATGATTATTTTATAATCCTGTCATTTCTCCTGCAAATGAGCACTTAAAACCTGGAGTTTTGCAACAGTGGGGCAGAGGGTTAGGGAGGTACTGTGATTTTCCCAAGGCCACTAGCTCTGCCCTAGGTTCTTTGCAGCCCGGGGACTAAATTCTATCCTCTAGCTCACCACCCCGGCGCTGAGACCCCGGCTCTAAGGAACCGGATGTGGAAGGGCGGGGGCGGCTTGGGAGGGCCTGCGGTTGGAGCCCTGGGCCGTGCGTAGAACGGAACACCTCGCGGGGTTTCCAGCTCCCCAGCCAGTGGCCGCCCGTGTCAGGCGGAGCCAGGTCCGAGCCCGGCAGCCCGCTGGGCCCTGACTCCCCGCCGGTGATCGCAGCCCCATGGGCCCGTGCCCCCAGCTGTGGAGCAGGACCCCGCGCAGGGCGGGTGAGGCGCCAGGGCAGCGTCGGGGTCCGGTCCGCCCCCGGGGACGGCGCAGTGGCCGGCAGGTGCGGGCGCAGCCGGACGGTCCGTGCGCGCCCTCTGCCGCCCGCCTGCACCCGACTAGCCGCGGGGAGGACGCCGGGGGTGGACTTTCCTTAAAGCATCCTCTCCGCGCAAAAAGAAAAGCGGGGTCCGCTTTGTCGTGCTGATTTGCAACTCAGGGTTTCAACAGATGACTCATAGTAAACGTGTATCCGTGGCATTACTTTTCCCACAACCTGACTTTTTTTTTTTTAAGTCGTCATTGTTAACAATAAAATGCCCATCTCCGTTGTCCAAGGAGGTGGGCTTGGACAACTGTATACACCAGGGTTATCATCACCCACATAAGGCCTAGAGCATCCCCTTCACCCCGGGAAGCTCCCTCATCCCCTTCCAGCCAGTTGTCCCCTCACCTTCTGACCTAGCCCTCAGCGGGTGCTGCCTGTCCCTAAACTTCACGGAAAGGGAAGCCTGCCGTGTGTATTCTTTTGGGTCCGGGTTCTTCAGCTCCAGTAAGTGCTTTTGAGATTCATCCAGGGACCTGCTTTCCCACAACCAGGTGATAAATGTCTGTGTGGTGTTGCATTTTATGCATGTACGGTGATATTTGAACGAATTTTCTTAGTTATATGGCAGATTATCTCCATATTTTGGCTCTTACAACCAATGCAGTGGGCAGCATCCTTCTATATGTTTTTCATAACACATTAAAGATTATTTTCTTTCCCGGTTTTTAATCATGATATTAAAAAAAAACTGGCAAACACAGAGAATGATATAACAAACATCTAGCTCCTAGACCCAACATGTCAGCGGTTTTCTAGTTTTGTTTCAGATTGGAAAAACAGCAGTCCAGATCCTGGTGGCTCCCTAGGTCTCTCCCGCCCTGTCTGGAGGCAGCTGATGTTCAGAGTGGCGGACGTCTTGCCGGCTCTGTCTTTATCATTTAACGGTGTGTATAGGTCTTGCATACAGCACATGTTCTTATCTTGTGTGCCTTTAAATATTCATGTATAAGTATAAGCACAACATTAGTTCTTCAGTTTGCTTTTTTCCACATTCCAGCCTGTTTATCCTTGTTGATGCGGGCGAGCCTACCCCATCCATTGTGGCTGCTGGATGGGTTAGTATTGAATGAACAGACCCGTTACTTAGCCATTCCTCTACTGATGGACATTTAGCTTGCTTGCAAGTTTTTCTACATGCAGTAATGCTGCGAGGAACATTCTGGTAAATGTCTCCTTGCACCGTGTAACTCATGGTCATCCCCACCCGCTGTGTCAGCACCACCTGGGACTGTGTTAGAAATGCAGACTCCCAGCCCCCACCCAAGCCTGCTAAGCCGGAATCTGTGTTTTAACAAGTTCAGGAGATTTGTATGCACATTCAGTTTTTGGTTTTTCTTTTTTGCATCATTTTATTTAATTTTTCAAATTATCATGTAGTAACATTGACTCATTGACTTTTTTATTGTGGTAAGGTATGCATAATATACAAGTTGCTATTTTAACCATTTTTAAATGTACAGTTCAGTGACATGATGTACTTACACATTG